AAATAATTTCATATTTTTAATAAAATCGTTGCTACTCGTTACTAATGTTCCAGCCCCACTTATGGGCATGGTATTCGAAGTGGACAAGCTAGAACATCAAGCCCTCCAAACCGGTTAAATCATAAATTAATCTACCTTATAATATAATATTTTCAATGTTTAATTTCAGCCTTTCTAACATAGGGTATTCAGATATTGAACCGGTAATTATAATGATTGCTTACAATATTATTAACCGGTTACTTATTAGTCTATTAAGAGGTCAATGATCCTCAATTCTAACAGAAAAACATTTAGTACACAAAGGATCCTTTTATTTTAAGGGTACTGTTCATTTAGCCGGTTTTTAATAATTTTATGAAGCCGCTTACTGTATATTTGAAACATTATTTATATATAATATGCAATGTCGTATTATATTCTACAGGTAGGTATATTAACATTGTGTAATTGAATTTTTACAAAAGTAAACAGATTTTATGAATTTATATTATGAATCAATATGCCAATTAAATAAACTGAAGACATCAGATTGTTATTGTTTATATTAAAGCTAGCTTTTCATTTCAGTTTCAAAATCCCTGTAATTCTACGGCGGCCGAGTGACAACCCTGCTCGAGTATTCATCCCGCATTTCGCACGTGCACCCAGCGGCGCCTCCCTCCCGTGCAAGCGAGAAATCGCGTGCGTGAAGTGACGGAAGCCGTTAGCCGGCCCGAGCGAGAGACGCGCATTTACTTAAATGTCAGAGAGAGTCAGTGTCACACATCAGAAAACAGACAAAAGGATTAAAATTGATCGTCAAAATGGCGGCACCATCAAATGGTAGCGGTAACCTCGTCGAGGAATTTGAAGAATCTTTTCAGGTAAGCTAAGTTTCTAATCTGAAAAACGACATTTCTCTGTGAATATTAGCAAACAATGTTGTTTTATTTATAACCTCTATATTATGTATACATTTACAAACATCAATGTCAAAAATACAATTCCTACTACCAATATAACAAAAATAAATAAATCGTGGCTGGTGTTGCCGTGAATGATAGTAGAAGCTTCATATAGTGATTCCGCTTGTAATCACAAAAATTACTATGGGGTAGCGTGTGTACGTGACCTAGTTCTGCTTATGCAGCTTCGACTGTAGCAAAGGGATTTTCATACAAGCGAACCGAACGCATCCCATTGAAGAAGTCGGCCATTTTACTGATAATGTTTTCACATATTACGAAAATACTATCTTGTGTTAAATGAACTAAATGTTAAAATTGAGGACGTGATTTTGTTGTGTGACATTAAGTGATGGAAGGACAAATAATTATGGCGTTTTGGACAATGGTGTAACACAGTGTATCGTGGTGATATTGAATCTGGTCTATAGAAACAATTCGTGTGTTGATTTGTTGTGAAATATGTCTGGAGAGGACGCTGTTTGTTCCGGGAACGGGATGCAGATCCAGGTATTCCGCCCCACATGGGATGAGTTCAAGGATTTCAATAAATACATCCAATATATGGAGTCGAAGGGAGCTCACAAAGCAGGGCTTGCGAAAGTGATTCCTCCTCCAGAATGGGTTCCTCGTAAAAATGGTTACGATTTAGACGATCTGAACATCACAATACCGGCGCCGATATGTCAAGTGGTGACAGGGAAGCAAGGTTTATTTCAACAAATAAACATACAGAAGAAAGCTATGACTGTCAAGCAGTTCGCCGTGATGGCTAATTCAGCGAAGTACTGTACCCCTCGGCACTCAAGTTATGATGATTTAGAGCGTAAATATTGGAAAAATGTCACATATGTAGCGCCCATATACGGCGCTGATGTGAATGGAAGCATCACAGACCCTGACGTCAAAGAATGGAATATCAACCACTTGGGCACAATTCTGGACTTCGTTAACTCTGACTATGGCATTGAGATTGATGGTGTTAACACTGCGTACCTGTATTTCGGCATGTGGAAGACCACATTTGCTTGGCACACTGAAGATATGGATTTATACTCCATTAACTATCTCCATTTCGGAGAACCAAAAACTTGGTACGCTATACCTCCAGAACATGGAAAAAGATTTGAAAGAATTGCATCTGGATTCTTCCCAACTTCAGCAAAGACGTGTTTAGCTTTTCTACGACACAAAATGACTTTAATTTCACCACAGATACTCAAACAGTACTCTGTTCCGGTAAATAAGATTACGCAAGAAGCGGGAGAAATTATGATCACATTCCCATATGGATATCATGCTGGATTCAACCATGGTTTTAACTGTGCTGAATCCACCAACTTTGCTGCTCCCAGATGGGTTGAATACGGCAAACGAGCGATGCAATGTACATGCAGCAACGATATGGTGAAAATCTCCATGGATACTTTTGTGAAACGATTCCAACCAGATCGTTACGAACTCTGGTTGAAAGGGCAGGATATTGGCTGTCATCCGGAACAACCAGAAAAGATGGTTCCAGCTCCACATCCATCTGGGCAAGATATACTCTGCAACAAAAACAACACAGAACTTCCAGAGTCATTCATAGAAGCAGAAGAGGAAGGTCTTAAAAAGAAGAAACGTCACCCATTGCACTTGAAACGAGCGATGGCCAGTAAGAGCATATCAGAAGGAGCTATTGCCGTATCTATCCTTGGACATGATGTTATGGATGATGATGAAATGACAATGGCCGAAGGAGACCTTGATATGATGACATCCATGAAACGGCAGAATTTACCTGATGAAACACAGCTTGATGTCCTTGAGGATATATGGCTGAAGGGTGACGAGATGGATCCTTCCGAGGCACAACTACCAGATGTTGGATATATAGACTCTGATGATGATTCTGATTATGAGGCGCCAAGAAAGAGAGATAAAGGCAAAGGAAGAAAGAAGCGTAAAGACAGTTCAGAGAAAAAACCTAAATCAAAATCATTGTTGAAAGTTGAAGAAATTAATGAGGTTATTATTAAAACTGAAGATGAAATGAAAGATATAATCGAAAAAACAGAGAAGCCTAAAAAAGTTAAAAGAATGCCTGTGAAGAAAGAACGGAAAGTCAAAACTAAGAAACTGTCCAATGAGCAACTTGAACATATGGCTGCTGTTGTGTCAAACTGGGAATCTCCACCTCATGTTGCTGATAGCCCTCTGGATAAACAAACTGCAGTTTTACAAGATCCCTTGACTGATATAGATGTTAAAACAGAAGAACCAACACCTCCAACAGAAATTATTCCTGAAAAGAAGGAAGTGAAAAAACGGAAGTCATCAACTAAAACCGATCGACCGACGACCGACCGTAAAAAATCAGAGAAGCCTAGGAAGGAGCGTGTCAAGAAACCCCCAAAAGACCCAAGCGAAAGAAAGAAACCAGGTCCCAAGCCTAAACCTAAACCAGAAGGAGGTGAAGTTATTAAACAAAAAAAGCCACGAAAACCTCGCAATCCAAAGAAAAATGTAAATTTCGAATACAATTCGCCATTACAACCAATAATGGCAAGTCAGGACCGGGCATATGGTTCTTTACCATACCCGGAGCTAAAAAATTACACATCTACTTCAATACCACAAAATAGGGAGATTAATCGACCAGCAACATCCACTCCGAACTCGAGTAATGTCAGCCCACCGAAATCCTCACCATCACCAACTAAACCTTACTCCAGCATACTTCTAGATTCCAATCTACGAGTACCAACATCAAGCCCTGTTATTGAACCTATAAACAAGAACCCGAGTGCATTTGAAGCGGAATTCAACAAATTCATGGCTACAGCACATAGCAGGTCACTACCAAATCGGACACAACCGACTATATTAAAACAGTATTCTTACCCAAGGAAATCACCAATTAAAAGCGAAGAGACTGCTAAATCCGATGTTCCATTACCAGTTGGTCAATACAACGACAATATTTTCATAGACGCACCAATAGATTACCGAACATACAATGTACCTGTTGACCGATTACAAAATCCGAATCAAGATAACCGAAGTCAATGGAGATCGGAGTATTCACAGAATAATTATACACAATTACAGAATGTTACCCAGATGTACGGACAGATGGATTCAAATCAGTTTTACCGAAGTCCGTACCAATCACCATGGTACGGTTATCAAAAATAAGCAAGTGTAAATTAGAAATTCTGTTCAAACAACTGTTTGAAGTAAATATGATTGGGTCCGTTTCTCAATTTTTGCTCACTACTTAATTTTCTTGCCACCAATGAATGGCCGGTTATTGCTACTTAATGCTTGGTTAGAATGTGATTAATACGTAGCCGAAAAAGGCCTCTATTCATCCTGTACACAGGTAGGGGAAAAGCTTGTACTGAGTACCCTGTACCCCTAAATAATACACAGTACAGCCCTATTTAAAAATTACAAAGTTATTAATACGAGATTGAAACAGACTGATAAGTAATACATATAGTGTGGATAATACCTCTCCCAGAAATCATAAAACAATAAAAATATAATTGACAAGAAAATATATTTATTTGAAATTACAAAATTTTCCTTCTAAATACAACAACCAGAGGTGGATGTTTAAATGAACAGCACTTAAAAGTGCTTTTTAATATAAGCACGCTTATAAGTTTAAGTTGTAAGTATTGCTCAGCTTTGTTGTTTATGTTGTGTTTCCTTAACAAATTAATTAGTCAAAGTGAATAATAATTTTATAAATAAAAACACGTGTTTTACAAATAAACTTACTTATCTGGAAACCTACTTTCGCTTTTCACTGTCAATACAATATTGCCACCTTTTTTATGATAAAAAGTCTATGGACTTAACCATTTGTAAGCTTCGAACTAAAAAGCGCATAAGTGAAAAATTATTTTATAAGCACGCTTATTTAACAAGTAGAACATTTAAAATTAAATGTAGTTTTTTCCATGAACAACATCAAAAATATAGAACAGGGATTTGGAGGAGGTATTATCCAATCCATATGTAACCCAGGTAAATCCATCTATCTGTTTCAATGTTTAATATTCGATTCAACTGAAGAAGACAGGACATTGAGAAGCTAAGGGCAATACTATTGCATAGGTACTATTAGCCCGATTATCTGTCACTCCGTACATACTTGCTTCAAACAGGGATCTTTCTAGTAGATATTTGGAGGTAGCTGTGAAAATGTGTGGTGTGCTAGAAACGTAACGATATAACAATTTCTATTTGAGTTTTAGTTCCTACAAAAGCGTTTTTTTACGTGTTTATATACTCTTGATAAATCACTTGAAGAATACTTTCTTTTGAAACATAAAATGTGACATTCACTACAGCAAGGTTCCGTTTCAGTGAACATGTCTAATTTTGCAATGTCTTTGTATTTCTGCTTTTGAATTAGAATTTTTTTTGTATAAAATCTTTGTATTACACCACATTAAAACTTAGGCATTAATTACAGTAATTCACCTTGGTAATAGGCACATTTCTATAGCTCCTACATCCACTAAGCCATTTTTTTTTATCTTATTGACTGATTGTTAAAATTATTATCGTATTTTAAATATTTTATTAAAGTTTACGATAAAGCTAATGTTGTGAAAGTATCCATAACTATTTTTAAAAAACTCCGAAGTATTTTCGAAATTCTTTTTAGTGCAATCTGTTTATTTCAACGTCGCGTACGTGCAACTATTTTTCAAATTTATTTTAAATACGGAACCCCACCTTTCGGATACTAATTTACTTGTTAAATTAATTATTTAGCTAAGCAATAATTACGTTTGTATTAAATAAGCGTCTTCAGTTGTAACATAAAAATTTAATAAGTCATTATGGACTTGGTACTGTTTTTTTAAATTTGCTTAGATTTTGGCTTCTCGCAGCCTTAATGGATCACCATATTAAATGCCGCGGAAGCGCATTTATCCGATCAACGGAACGGACTTTTGTTCTTATGCAAACACATAAAGCTTTTTCTGGCTGACTCAAGTCGGTTCCGCGTTATTAAGCGTGATGACTCCTCTAATTCTCGTCCAACGGGAAGGCGTACAAAAATTAACATTAATATGGAAGAGTGTTATTGTCATACAGTCAGGTTCAATTTACATTGCCGCGGAACGGAATCGAAGGTATTTTTTTAAGATACGAGCCAAAAAACAGGTCGCGCGTAAATAGAGCCTTATTACCTTAACCGCAGATGGGTTCCCTTTAATTCCTGCTTGTAAGTTGAAGAGTAAAATTCTTATTTAAGCAGATAGTCCAGTCAACCAGAGACCATTCGCCACTGGTATTTATTTATGACAGCAACAGAGTCAATCAATGATTTTGAGCGCAATCTTACTTAAACCATAATATAATAAGGCAAGTAGTGTAACTCCATACAAATGCAGCACCGCGGCTTGTATATGTTCACGCTCGCAGCGCGCCTTGTACGGACGCTCGCTCAATTCTTGTTTACATACCAAACCACGTGGCAATTCGTGAGAGACTTAGCTAATAGATCACTAAAATTGCGGCGAGATCGGCCTCCCACCTCGTCCTTGTGCGTAAGCGAGTGCACTAGGCCAGACGCGTGCGCTGCGTTTGAGAAAGAAAGAGCTAGTAATACTTTCTCGGTTCCTCCGACTGCGCTATAACTTTAACACGTGCCGTGCAAGTCAATGACCTTTGGATCAAGCAGGATCAGGTGATTGTGAATCGATGTTTACCGCAATTAAATAAAAAAATAAGAATTTACAAAATTTTTCTTCGATTTATTTTATTAGTGATTTGGATTCATTTTCGGATAATAATGACCTTTGTAAATATGGCGAGAATGTATGTTAACACATTGAAGTCGTTCGCTCGGTGTTTAATAAAAATTGCATAAAATAGCAAACGTGTTTAATAGAGAATCGAGATAACATTCCGCGATTCTGGTGTAAAAATATCAATGTGTAAGTACTGCGTTTGACGAAGGTTATTTAGAGAATACAGCGATGAATATCATTAATTTTTTCATTCTCAAGGTGCATTAAAATAATATGTAACATACTCCACAGTCCGAACGACTTGTAGGCATTGACGCGCTGAACAAGCGAGTTACACTATTTGTTCCATGCTGGGGCCGCACTTGTGGCCACCTTGGATTATTACACGATCAATCATCATCAAGCAGCCTCTACTCCATCCGTCTTCGGATATAGGCCTCCTCCATATCTCTCCATTTACATCGCTTCCGTGCCACATGCATCCAGTTTGGCCCGCGAACATTTTAATGTCATCCACCTAACGAAGTGGCGGACGACCTCTGCCGCGCGTGTTGACCCATGGTCGCCACTCTATGATCCTCATTCACCGATCTGGATCCATCCTAGCTATGTGTCCTGCCCATTTCCCTGTCATCGTCTCAATTTTGTGTACAACGTCCCCGACTTTAGTTATCCGTTGAATACGCTCTTTCCATTGCCCTCTTTGCGATTCGTAAGTTCTCTGCGGACTTCTTCGTCAGAGTCGTTGTTTCCATGCCATAGGTGTATACTGGCAGGACACACTGGTTGAAGACCTTAGTCTTTATGCGTTTGCATCGCAATATTTGCTGGTTGGCCCCAAAAGCTGACGAAAGTGGCCCCAGCATTATTATACTATAGTTATACAATGTAAGCGCGACGTCCGTCCTGTCATGTCACTATGTGAATGTGGTGGGTTTTATTCTGTGTAATGATATGAAAAAATAGTTTGAATTCAAATGATATTTATTTTTAATATATGGATCCTTTTCATATAAATCACACAAACAGAAAAAGCTTTACCAATAATTTTAAATACATTGTAGATACTTTATGATTGCGTGATGAATGGTGTAATTTGGTTTTTAAGAATCTTTATTCTTTTAATTGTAGACTGATTTAAATAAAATTTTGTGTGTTTTCGTTTTGTCACGGTTATTCATAGTATTAACATGGTAAGGTACCTAATTAGTTAAAATTAAAGAAGAAAAGGTTACTTGATCTTTGAAAAAAGTTTAAATTCCTCTGTCTGTATTTTAACAGGTTTTTGCTAAATATTTTTAATAATTAACAACTATACAAAACAATTTATAACTGATTTTATAAATAAACATATAGAAAAAAATGTCTGCGATAGAATGTTTATTTGAAAATTTGAATTTAAAATTGGAACAGAATGGGACAGCTATATTTTTTTCAAAATTCAAAAACCTTTTCAAAACTATGTGTAAGTGAATTGATTGTTAGAGTTCTTATAATAAGAAATTATTTATTTTTAAGCCTTAAGGGTAGTCTTAAGTCTTTATGATTACACCTATTAAGGGTTGTGCCACACTAGACAGTGCGCTTTAATACAGGTTTCATCATAACAATGAGTGTTGTATGGAATGACATTTATTGACGACTTCGATGGTCCAACTGCTCTTGTTGAGAAAGTCCGTAAAGTACGAATCCCGGTAGGACCAAATTGGGAAATTAATTTTTCTAATTTTGGTTCTGGCCTGGGTGTTATAAGTAGTGTGTTTGTGTGAATGATTTCCATTTTTCTGATGCTCAAGTTTGGCACATGTGAAATTTGTCATTTTAGAGACAACACTCGCTGTGCATTGGTTATTGAAAATATTGTTGAAGCGTGCTGTTTAATAACGTTTGACCCTCGGATAGATAAAATGCTTCTTGTAAAAGTGCATTAAGGACACTGAAAATTATATATTAGGTAACTGGTTACGTCGTGAGAATTCGTGATGCAATATTTTAAACTTTATCCAATAAATAATAATGAAAGGTTCGGAGATTATTAAATCATTTAGTTTTTAACTGCTTGAGTCATAATGTTGACTTAAAGTGTTTACAAAATTGCGAATATTGCAACTGGTTTTTTTTTAAATGCAAGAGTGTGTGGTGGTCTTGTAGACATTAAAATTTCGCTTATGTGTAAAAAACAACTTAGTCATTATTGTATAAATACTTGTAACCGTTTGATTACGAAATGGATTTTTAGGGCGGCTTCAAATTGGACGCTTATGAAAGCGCTGCAGTTGCGCCACTATAAATTTCCTTACAATATTTCGAAGCGCAGATGCGCGCCTCTTTTGCAGACTAGATATTGTATGAAAATTAGTAGTAGCGCGACTGCACCGCTTCTATAAGCGTTTATTTTGAAGGTGCTCTTATTCTTATTCGTATAAAGTATATTATTAAATTGCCAGTTAATTTACGACAATTCTACCAAGGTCCAAAACAATAGTGGCCTTTTTGCGTATTGAATATTATGCAACTTGAAAGCTCAGTTGATATGGTCATTTCAGTTGCAGCTGTCTTATTACAGGTTAAAATCTATAATAATCAAATGGTTAGAAGAATGTATTGTAGTTATCTTTAAAACAGTTCTATGTAGTAATAATTACTATAGCGTTATAAAAATCTGTTTTTTGAATGGAATTCTTCAAATAAAAAGAATTAATGAAAATATGCACAGCGTTGTTCTTTCTTTGTAACCTTTCTTGACAAATACAAGATTACAAGCGCCAATTATCACCTTTTGAAGCTATTACTATAAATGTGGTTTTACCGTCCAAATCATTTCTGAAGATGCACCAGGAAAGAATTGAAATTTTTCCATACATAATTCAATCCTCGTCTCTTCTCATCAGTGGGAAAGCGCCTTACATCCCTTTGTTCTGAACGGAATGGAAGCTAATTTTTTTATAAAAGTAAGCTTTATTCCAGTAAGCTTAGATATCAGAACAGCATAATCGCATACAGGACCAAAATACTGACAAAACATGATAATATTTTAATTAAGATCTTTTTTTACTCCATATGAAAAATTATTTATTAGGCTGGTTTCACAGCTATGCAGTGCTCTGAATCGAGTATTTAATGTAGTGCGGATATTCACGGATGACAGTCGCCTATAATGAACGCACGGATGGCTCGTGCGGAGTTCACGCGGAGCGTATTCTGTACGGAGCAATCCGCGTCACTGTAAATCGATGTTCTAACACCAGACGTGTTACTCCACTCCGGTGCTTAACGGCTATTACATAAAAAAACTAGCCTAAAAGTATTCTTTCGTTTTTATAGTGGGTACGTAAGAAAAAAAAGCCGTTTAATACAGTTTCAGATAGAGAGGACTTAATTTTGTTACTACCGCTCTTCACTATCCACAGATTGTACTACACTCGACTGTACAGTGTGGTCATGTCCATGTACCCAGAATAAAAACATATTGTTGGTTGAGGCTCAATTTATATTGCCGCGGAACGAAAGTGAAGCGAATTTAGCGCCAAAAATCACGTGGCGTGTTTTCCGCGGAGCTCTCGCGCATGCTCAAGAATGCTCGAGCATTCCGCAACTACCGTCGGCGACTCCTCGGCTTCATGGACCAATAAAAAAATTAAAATTTTTAATTATAAACCTGTGTTTTCTATCAAAATTACTTCTTTCGTGAATTTTGGGACATCCAATATAACAATAATTACGCGATTTCGACGATTTTTCTTACGAAACATGCTGTACGACAACGACAAGTGCGTGCAACACCCTCTGAGCGCTTGGACTGCCGGCGATACATTCAGCGATATAGGCATTTATCGCGTAACATTGAGGCAGTGACGGAGCCCTGACCGGGTGCCATTAATACTCTTGCACGCTCTAGTGAGCACAGGATCAAAATGGAATACTTACCTACAGTTATATTTTCTCCAGTGATCCGGGTGCAATTATAAATCGTGTGGGAATAGCCCGTTTGTTTTACTTGCGCCGCGACTGGCAGCGAATGACGCAGGGGACGTCTTTGGGGGCGTCACGTATAGCGCCCGGCGCCCTCTAATATCCTACAGCCGTGTGCGCCGTGGTCACTACGCTAGCCACCTATCTCACAGAGGTGGAAGCAGTGACGAACCACTCTAGGTTCCACTACATAAATTCACAATTGTCGCCTCTCCCTCAGCGCGTTTTTCTAAACTTTATTCCAAATTTCAGGCATGCCTAAACGTACTGACGAAGCAAGATGCTTCCCCAAGCGTGGAGAAGGAAGAAGTTAAAGTGGAGGTGGAAAGATTCATCGACCTTGCAAGGCAGATGGAAGCTTTCTTCTTACAGCAAAGGTTTTCTTTTTTTTATAATATCAAGTGACGGGACGAACAAGTCGTGCGCCTGATGAAAAGCTTTAAATCACAAATATATGAGGCGCACTGACGTGACGGGAGTTGCTGGGAGAAACAGGTCGTGCGCCTCTTGATACGAGAAACGCCTATCCTTAATACTTGCAGTGCCACTCAAAGCTTTAAATCGCAAAGATCTTAGGGGTACTGCCACTGCGCCCGTCTCTCTGAGTTGTTGATAAGTCCCATGTCCTTGTAATATCACTAACACCCTTACCCTTCCAAACCGGAACACAGTAATGCTTACATTACTGCTTAGCGGTAGAAATAGGTAAGGTGGCATGGCTCAGTTGCTTTTCCAGATACACACGACGGCATGAAAGTTAGTAGTGGTAATACTGCGGCGCTTCTATAAGTATCTAGTTTAAAGGCGCCCTTAGACAGTTTCCTTTTGGTTTCGGATTTCCCCATGCTGTCCTAGTTAAAATCACACTGTATAGCGTAACGACGACAGATCTCGTTTTTCAGGTTCCTCTTGTCAGCTATGAAGCCTGAACTTCTGGTGAAAGAAGACAACAATGAGTTGAAATGCGAATTGCAGCGCAAGGAAGAGCTGCTTCGACGGCACTACGACAAGATTAGCCAATGGCAGAACCTCCTTGCAGATCTACAGGTGATTAAAAAAACTTTCTAATGTAAAAGCAAAATTGTTATCTAATATTTTGTAAGAGTGAATATGAAGGCGTTTTGTTATTATAAAATTTGACAATTGAAATGTTCTCGCCCGTTTTTTGATATTATGATCATTGACTTACAATTATATGGACGTCGGGTCCGCGCTAAAAAGTGTCCGAACTTATAGGGCGTTAAAATCGTATACAGAGCGTCATTCACGCTTTAGTCTTCGTTTGTTTCTTCTGACAGCGAAGCAAGCAAAATTAGATAGCACTACGATGATATTACAATTTAAATTCAACGTTTTAGCTTTTTCATATTCCTTTACATGTCACTACGTTTAGGTAAATAGGTTGACTTGGGACATTTTTTTCGTGGTTTTTGTATTAGACCCGTCGTCATATTTGTAAGTCAATGATTATAATACACCGCGTTTGTATATTGGCTATATATATTTTTTATAATATCAAGTGACGGGACGAGCAAGTCGTGAGCCTGATGGTAAGCTACACGCCTATTCATAACAGTTGCAGTGCCACTCAGAGCTTTAAATGACAGAGATCTGAGGGCACTGTCACCCTAAGCCGTAAGTTGACAAGTCTCAAGTGCCTGTATTTTCACCAGCGCCCTTACCCTTCAAAACCGTAACACGGTAATGCTGCCATTACTGCTTGGAAGCAGAAATAGTTAAGGTGGCAGTACTTCCCTGGACTAACTTTTTCCCCTCACATCTTTGCAATTTAAAGCTCTGAGTGTCACTGCAACTGTTATGGACAGGCGTGTAGCTTACCGTCAGGCGCACGACTTGTTCGTCCCGTCACTTGATATTATAAAAAAAAAAAAAAAACAAAAAGATACCTAAATAATAAAAGTTACCACTGTAATTAGGCCGAGAAACATTAAAATTATACTTTAAACCTTTTAAGTAACGACGTAGGTTTAATACGTAAATAATTTCACTATAATATTGTCTTGCAGGGCCATACAGTGTACAACAAATGTCAGCAACAGCAACAGCAGCAACCGCAATTGCAGCAAGCGGCGTCGCCGATGCAGCCGCAATGCAGCATGCAGCAGAATGTACAGGTAATTGTGAATATGACAAAATAAAAATCGAAGTAAAATATTTTCTACTCCGCGATTGCTGGTTAAATAGTGCAAAATAACTGCGTTTGTTAATTTTCCCACCCTCCCTGCACATACAATTAATAAAATAAAGGGTTTTCAACAAGAACATTGTTTTGTAAAACAAAATAAATCAATAAATTTAGATGACAATAATTCAAATTTTTGTTGTATTAAAAGAAGTATGGTTTGGCAATTATGAATGAAAAATGATATCTGATAAATGTCCACCACGACCACAGTTACAGATGTCGATTCTTTCATCAAAGTTTTTAATCACGTTTTGACAAAATGGTGGGTCTATTTCGTTAATCACTTCATGAATTTTGAGTTATAAGGCTGCAATCGATTCGATTGGCTCCGTATAGACGCTGTTTATAACATGACCCCATAAAAAATAATCCAGCGGTGTTAAATCACATGATGGAGCTGGCCACTTAACGACTGAATTTCGTGAAATTATGCGATTGGGAAATTTGGTTTGCAATATATTCATTGTTTCGGTGGCTGTGTGACTTGTTCCGTTGGCATCGGGCCGTTTTTTTTTTGTTGTTTTTTTGTTAATATAACGAAATTCAGCCGTTAAGTGGCCAGCTGGATCATGTGATACGCCAGTTCCGTGTTGATAAGTGTGGTGACTTCTTTACGGTATTTTTCAGGTGCAACAAATGGCAGCAGCAGCTGCAGCGCAACAAGCTGCGTTGCAACAACAAGCATTGCAACAACAACAGGTACCGCGTCCTCCGCTTCCACCCGCCTACCCCGCAGTAGCCCGACGGTAGCACATTGTGTAGTAGCATTTGGGTCAAGTTAGGGCCAGTGCAAACCGACGAACGACAAGGTAGAGGGCATTAAATTTACCAGTGCATATTTTATGCTTTTGCTTGTGTCGAGTAGCAGAGACACTGGCTTTATTTCAAAATGTATTTTTTTACAAACGAAATTAAAACCATTCGATAAATGTATATCGTATACTATACGTTTTCTATTTAGTTCAGTTGATATAAAAAAAAATCATTGGTATATAGTAACTATTGAATATAGCGGTTTCCTTGTAAAATTTCGAGGTAAGTTTGTGTTTTTTTCTATCGTAAATTTTTTTGGGAATCGCGTTTTTGCACCGCATATCCTCAAATTCTACTATATCGCACATGACAACTAACATAGTATTATCTTAAAATGGCTTTAAGTCACAAAGATTATTTATTACATAGGTAAAATAAATTTACACTTGAGCAGAAGAACGAGCAAGAAACTCTAGGGATTGCTCTTTTCAAATAAACTTAAATGCTATGGAATACACTTTGAATCAAATTTGTGTGGATTCTGGAGCCATGTCGTCTTTCCATACATCTTTATCTAACACGTAGTCTTCAATTTTGTAATATGATTTTTCGATCAAAATATTTTTTAATGTAGTTTTTAAACTTAGAAAATGATAAACTTAATATATCCTCCGGAATCTTATTGTAAAAACGTATACAGTTCCCCATAAAAGAGT